GGCGTGTTATGCCTAAATTAATCGTAAGTATAATTTTACCTTTACCGGTGCAAGAGAGCGTAAAGACTTGACGACAGCTGCTGACATCTGGCGAGAAGGCGGGTGTTGTATATCGGAGTTTATGCTCACCCTGACCGTTCCGCAACCTGCGCCACTGAGTCTAACAGTTCTGCCAACCCTGTCACCGGGTAATCAACACAAGCGAGCCCTCACGATTTTCCCCTAACCTGAAGCTCTGACAGCTGAATTGGTCAGACCTTGGGTTTTTATTGGGGAGGCCCTAGTTCGAACATTGGCTCCTCTCACAGAGAGGTTCGTGAATCTCTTGCAATAAGACACTGAGGCTTCTGGTTTAGTAAAGTGCGGGAATATGTTGAGTAGCTCAACGACTATTAGCTTCTCATTGAGTCCGTTCCATATGGAATACGCTAGTAATTTGACATTATGTAACATAGGCAGCAGAATAAGTGTCGCTATATAAACAAAGAAACGTATAACCAAACGTAACGAATTTCTTCCGTTGGCGGCCATCATTGATGTTCATCTGTTCCAAAATTAATTAACGATGCAGACGTCTCATTTCGTGAGGTTCAGTTTTTTGACAATCCAAATAAACAGTGAAGATATACATACAGAATATTTTCTCCTGTATCCACTTCCGTGGAGTTGAGCCCTTCTTGAGAAGCCGCCACTCGGTCAACTACTCAACAATTTACTTAAATTTTAAAGTTTTCTTCAGTCCCTCGATCAGCTTCCTTCCAGATCCTTCCCCGTTCATCACTCATCCCATCATCCATCCATACTGAAATTGTCGTTACATAGCCTGCAAAAAAAAAAAACTTTAACCCTCATGACGGCTGGAGGGTACCGGTCACTGGGCCGCGTACAGCTGCCCCTCACCCTCCGGTACCTACACAGGCGGTCGGATTGCGGGGAGAACTCTTGTTTCCTTCGCCATTCGTACCGATTCTTACTGTGTTACTGTCAATATCCACTTCGGGACACTAACCAACGACCCGCCATATCTTGTACAATCATGGCACTGTTTTGGAACACATATTGCACTCTTAATAGATTCCTCTACGGTCCTAACCTTCTGTTAACACCAGGGGGAAATAAATAACTGGTTGATCTGTAGGACAGAGCGAAGCCGCCGCGCCATAGAGCAACCTACGCAAAGAGTTGCATCATTTCCGTGAAGGTGGGGTGCAATAAACATGGGTTTGAGTATATGAGGCTGATATCTGGTACGTTGCGCATAGTAACACGAGACACTACAGGAAAAAAATGGGTGCTGTGTTTTTCTTATCGTGTGGCCGAACTTGAAACTACAACAAAGAACAATACGAAGGGACCCGAAACCCTCGTCAGAAGCTGTACATCCCCCCCCCCCGCCCCATTAAGAAGCGACGTTTTTGTTGCACCTTGTCCCCAGAGTATTCTGTCATCAATCGAGTGGGCAGTTTGTGCTTTTCGAGTCAACAGATCGTGGCAACGAATATACAGAGTGTCCCAGGAGGAATTTGCCAGACTTCGGGAGGGTGTTCCTTATGCTAAAGTATGCCGATATAACCCAAAACACCTATGTCCAAAGTTGAACGGTTACGGAGATAATGGCCCAAGAAAAGTGTGGTCTTCTGGCGTGTCCACGCACCGTACCTATCAGCTGACAAGTCTTACCTATGTTTGTCCTTGAGTGTGGTGATTCACACTAGCCGTAAGCTTCTGTGCTACCTTCAGGGTACGTTGAGCACGCGTTGTGAAAGGTTGGTAAATTAGTTGTGGGGAGTTGCTGAAATACCTTTTGTGTTTTCACACGTGGAATATTGTGATATGCATTTTGTGTATGGATTTTGAGGTGGCAGTGCACGTGCTGCTGTTGAAGAATACCAAAGGCGTTTTCCCGATCAGAGGATTCCATCTCGAAGTTTATTTACGCGAATTCACCAGACATTGAGTGATACTGGTTCTCTTCCGAGTGTTTCTGTGCACTCTGAAAGGGAGGTTGTACGAATGAGAAACACACGAGAGAACATTCTTGAGAAGGTTCAGAGAAGTCCGCGTCTGTCCACTCGTAGAATGGCCTCTCGCAACGGCTATCACATATGCAGGTCGCCAGATCTTACGCCTCTAGATTATTACCTCTGAGGCCACATGAAGACGTTAGTCTACGAAACTAAGGTCAATTCACGAGAAGCACTGCGGGATCGTATTTCTGCAACGGCAGAACACATACGTCACCATCCAGGCAACATTGCTTCTGCTACCCAGTCCCTCATGATGCGTGCCGAAAACTGCATTGCAGCTGGCGGAGGACATTTTGAACAATTACTATAAAGCAGGTACTGTATTTTAGTAGTTATGTAGTCTGCTTATACCAGAATGCGCAGTCAGCCATGTTACGTCAGTGCTTGCCATTCATGTGTCATATATAGGGCTTGGAAACCTAAGAACTATGACATGGCGTGCGAGTTTTTTGGTAGTTCAATTTAATGACGTCATGTCACTCACAAGTTAGTTTGATGTTACGTACATTATTAACATTACAGAATCCACATATTCCTGCCAGTTTTAATATGTATTTGATAATCAACAAGTGTGTAACACCTGTCAAAGTTTCACACTTCTCGGGCCATTATCTCCGTAACCGTTCAACTTTGAGCATAGGTGTTTTGGGTTATATCGGCATACTTTAACATAAGAAACACCCTCCCGAAGTCTGGTCCATTCCTCCTGGGACACTCTGTATACACGCAACAATAGAACAACCGTTGGACGCGCCGTATTCTGTGCGGGCCATGTCGTGTCATAGGTGATTAATTCTTCCCGGAACTTCTTGTTGGCCTATTTTCTTTATTTCGAATAAAATAAATGAATAAAAGTAGACTCAGTTGAAAGTAGGAAGCGGTAGCATAGTTGGTTGACGCACTCTGCTACAAGCCGTACGGTTGCGGATTCAAATCCAGATGAGGTGGATTTTTTCTTTCTTCAATGTAACTAACCCTTCCAGCCGCACTATGGCCCTGTGATCGACTCAGCCTCAAACAGAAATGAATACCAGGAATCTTCCTTGGGGTAAAGGCCGGCCGGCGGGTAAGGCTGACTACCTTACCGCCGTCTGTGAGCCGATTGTCTAGAGAAAATGTGGAAGCCTCGACTTCTCACAACCCTATGGGCCTTCACGGTCTGTTACAGGGGTAGCTTACCTTTAGACTTTTTTTTTATTGCTAGTGGGGTGGGACTAAGTCCCTTGTACTGCGGCCACTTCTGGCCTATTGTACCAGCCCTAGATGTTAGGTGAGGGTTATTGTGGAGCAATTGGTGGAATGAAGATTGGCAGGGGAAATTGAAGTACTCGGAAGAAACCTGCCCCAGCGCCACTTTGTCCACCACAAATCCCACTTGACCAGACCCCGGGATCGAACCCGGGCAGCCGCGGTGGGAAGCCGGCGACTAACCGCTTAAGCTATGGCGCGACCCTACCTTTAGACTTACTGAAAATGATTTTAGCGCTAGGAGCCCACAGCGAGAGACCCTTGCCGCCGTCAGATCTGTGTGTTGTCATATGCGACCCTCGATGTTCAGAAATTTGGCCAACCCTGCTCTAGAGGAATTATGAAGCAGTACATAACTTGCGCAGTTGATACAGTTTCTATAATTGAAACAGTAAGCAAAACCACACAGTCTCATGCAGGCATCTGTCCCACTGCTTAATCAAGCGTCACGCCACGAAGGCGAAAGTGGGAAGCAGAGGTAGATTTCCACTCATTCTTCTTGGCAATAGATAGTTTGATGTTCCTACCGTTTTACTTCCCACCCCCAAAGAATGAGCCCCACCTGTCTACTCGATATGAGGCTGATTGGGCCCCAGAAAATCTATGCTTGTACCGGGAATCAAATCTCGATTCCCGGTTATCCATTTCATATCCTAGCCGCTATATCGACTGAGCTATCCTGACAATTTAGATATATCTTACGTCTGTTCGTCTTGGTTCCACAGGAACACATCGCCTCCATCTTCAGGATCAAAAAGTTAGGTAAACAGGAAACCTATAAGAGACGTGCACAATCCTCCGAAACGTCGGTTAACATTAATCCGACTACACGGCATTGTACTGAAGAAAACAAAGATTTACAAAGTAAATTAACTCTTGGAAGACTCGCCATAGGTGGGAGGATAATATTGAAATTGGACAACAAAAATGTTGATTGTGAAGATGTGTGTGTTGGATTTATCTGGCTCAGGGTAGAGACCAAGGGCGAGCTCTTATGAACACGGAAACGAAATTTCGGACCCATAAAAGGCGGGGAATTTCTTGACTAGCTAAGCGACCGTCAGCTGCCAGAAACCCTCCGCTTCAGGGAATTATCAAATGTTACTTTCGAGTGATGGGCACTTCAAGATCAGCAATTAGAGGCGTCGTTACATGACTAAAGAATAATCACGTAAATATCCATGGACTTGGCAATTTTTAATACAGTAAACCCTTGCTAATCCTGAGCAATTGGGGCGGGGAGATCATTCGGAGTGATAGCGCTAAAAACGAACAAAAACTTAGGAGAAAAAAAAACAAAAATCTTAATAATATAGGTTAATGATGATAATGATGATGAAAATAAAAATATATCGCTGCAGCAATTTCTTCCTCTGTCAGAAGCTGAAATCGAGGGCCTCCTTCATTCAGCTGAAGACAATCCTGAATACTTTCTTGCGTGATTTGCAGTCTCTCCGGCTGCCCTCAACACATCCTGAAAACCCTATTGATCGTAAATCCCAAGTGTGTTTTAAAGTATGTACTCAACTGCGAACAGAATTGTTTAATTTAGCATATTTTGATTAGGAGTGTCTGACATCTAGACCAACTGTAACCGGATTAACGAGGGTTTACTGTATATAAATTCGTGCGAGGGCCAATAAATAATAGGTGTGAGTATAGATATATGTGCGTGCTGGCATCTGCTGGAGACGAAGTGAAGTAACGCATTGAGCGCGCGGAAACGCAAGGGATGACGGGCAGTAGGTATTTATCAGAGGGAGAGTTGTAGGTTGTAGCTGCAGTGTGTTTTAACCGTTCGAACGCGTAGGTATGTGGTTAGTGTTAGTGCCGTGATGATCCTGCTGTGTGCTTCACTCTGAGTTAGTCTCCTGACCCAAACAAGATGCCAGAGAAAGAGAAATACTCCGCAGTGCCTGCGAAGGATGGTGGTGACAAGAAAGCCATTACGTCTGGTGACGACGAGATCTGCCTCAAGGCGAAGATGAGTCTGTTGAATGGTATCACCGTCATTGTTGGCAGTATCATCGGCTCGGGGATATTCGTGTCCCCCACGGGCGTCCTGCTGAACACGGGCTCTGTGAATCTATCGCTAATCGTATGGGTTGCCTCGGGCGTCTTCTCGATGGTGAGTAAAGCGTCCTTGTTCACATCCTAATTCATTATTCACCGCTCACCCGACCACCAAACATTAAATTGTAAATACTGTAGTAAGTATCCAACCCCATTATGTGATAGTTAACCAGCCCGTCAGGAAATTCACCACCCTTTATGGAACACGAAGGTTCATCACCGTGTTCACAAGATCCCACCACTGCACCCTTTCCTGAGCCAGATGAATCCAGTTCACAGCATCTCACCGTATGTTTTAATAGCCGGTAATCCATAATTTGCCCGTTTCAACTGTTTTGTTTCATGGATGTTGGCCCACTAAAATTTCGTATGGACTTATCGCATCCTCCACCCGTGCTGTATGCTCTTCCCCCTTGTTTCTTCTTTAATATGATCGACGTAATAACGTCTGGTGAAAAAGTAAAAAGTATGAAGTTCCTGCTCGTAAGGTCCCCATATCCCGGGTGCCCCGTTTGGGGATTATTGGTCTGGATTTCGTTTTACAACGCTGCCGTACCGCACTCTGACAGTTGTTATGTTGTCACCGCAGGTGGGCGCCTACTGCTACGCCGAGCTGGGCTGTATGATCTCGAAGAGTGGAGCGGACTATGCCTACATCATGGAGACGTTCGGCCCGTTCATGGCGTTCATCCGGCTCTGGATCGAGTGTATGATCGTTCGGCCCTGCTCTCAGGCCATCGTGGCCCTCACGTTCAGCGTGTATGTCCTGAAGCCCTTCTTCCCAGAGTGCCAGCCCCCGGAGGACCCCGTTCGACTTCTCGCCGTCTGCTGCATCAGTGAGTACGACCACTGTTTAACCCTCTTATAAATTCAGCCCGTACTTCACAGGAAACACATTAGATCTCCGCTACAAAGGCCACTCGATTAAGCACATGGTACATATAGCGATAAGTTGTGTTTTGGTGAAATTGGCCCGCAGGCCGCTGTGTGCCGACCGGTCCCCCGAACAGGCTGCTTTCGTTTTCCTGATGAAATACAGAACTCTGAACCTCTTCACTGGAAGCATACGTCAAGCCAAACTCGCTTCTCCGAACCGCGCATTATGCATTTATCGTGTTCTAGAAAGAGCAAGACATTTTTGGAAACGTGCATACGTTTTGCCATTTCCTTGTGTAGCAAGCCTCATGTTGCTTGTGTGACCTCTGCTGCCTTGAAATCGTAGATGTACGTATATAACATATTTCCCCAGTCAATTTCACAGAATATTCGTTGCGGCATGTAATATCGTTCCAGATAAAGTCCGCTGGTAATTATGTCATGAACATTCTGACGTCACAAACCAATCTGCATTGACAGCGAGGCGTGTGTTGTAGGACGGTGAAATTTTACCTTCGCGAGGAAGACCAGAACAGATAACAGCGTCCACAAGGTGTAATTTAAATGCAGGTAAAAGATAATATTGTCTCTGCGCTTAATTACGAGTACCTAAGTACTACGCAATGAAGGCGTCTGGAGGAAAGCGGATGTACCCACATTTTCTTCACCTCGGCAATAGTTGGAGCTGAGGGGTTAGCTTCACGCCCCGGACGCATTAACTCCAGGGAAAGAATGCGTTGGTTAGGAGGCTGGGTGGACCCCAGAGACGGCCTGGACAAGATGGAGCAGTGAACATTTTGTCTGTGTGAATGGCCCTCATTTCAGCTGACCGAATTTCAGTGAACGTGGAATGAACGTTACGCTGTTGGAGACCACCTGAAAATCGTAATTTTCACTTCCATCAATCCTGGAATTTGGTAACAGATCCTGAGAAAATATGCAGCTTTTGTTGTAGAAACATTTTTGTATTATCTAAAGTAAAAAGGGCGTTCAAACCCGGAGGCGGGAGTGTGTACGTGTGTAGTTCGGGGAGGAGACCGCAAATGAAATGATCTCCCAGTCCAGACATGGCGACAGAGTCAGACTTGTTGAGATTAAGTGTGGCAAATTTAATGTACAGTATAATCGTATAAAACCATATTACATAAGAACACATTATTGTCTCTTGTCATTGTTAATCCAACGCAACTAAGGAAGCAAAAGAACATACCGAAATTACTTCTTTGTGATCCATCATCCCCCTCCGCGCCACTCCCTCACCCCCAACCCTTGTCATTTGAAACCCTGTAGCCTCAAGTACGCAGTTCGACCCTCTTCTTCCTCACTGCCGTGCCCAGTCACATCTAACTGGTGCCTCCTTTACTTGAGTTAAAGCGACAGGATCGTAAAGCAGACGTATATCTGCGCCTACACTCTTCCCATACACATGTAAACTTCTTAGCGTATAACGGCTTGCTGAAAGTCCTACGCTTTCCGGAGGCCCTAGGTTCGAGTCTCGGCCTGCAGAATGGCTGTCCGGTAAAAGACTTTGAGGTAAATACCTGAATGGTACCTCAGAATAATCCACGACCACCCATCGAGTTGTGAGACTTCGAGGATCCTACATTTGTTCTAGACAGTCGGCTCACAGATGGCGGTGACGCTGTTAGCCTCACCCGCCGGCTTCCCTTTACCCCCAGGAAGATTCCTGGTACTCATTTCTGTTAGAGGCTGAGTCGACTCCAGGGCCCATAGTTGCGGCTGAAAGGATTAGATCAATTGAAAAATGCAGTAACCTCGTCGGGAATCGAACCCACGACCGTACGGCTTGTATCATAATGCCGCAACCAACTAAGCTACCGCGTGGCCCCGATATATTAATAAGATTCTCCATCCTTTTGTCACCTCTCCCAGTACCCTGTTCTGAAACATCCTCAGCATGTGTTCAGCCATAACGTGACCAAGTTTCACACCCGTGTTCAGACAGTGGCTGGCAGTAAGTGTGATGGTGATCCGAAGTGTTTGAACTTCACATATCGGGAAGTCACCCACCCCTCTGCTTAGATAAACACCGCGCTGTGAACCTCTCCGCTAAATGTCTGAAGCGGTGAGCTTCACGCCCCGGCAGCTTTACTTCCGGGAAATAGCTCCCCCTCCCCGGTAACCATTGGATAGGAGGCAGGCAGGGTGGGTCCCAGAGCTGTGGAGAAGATAAAAGTCCGGGAACCGAACCCCGATTCCTCGGTTGTATAGCCCGTAGTCGAGTCTCGCATATTATGTAAAATTACCGGTATTCAGTAAAGTGTTGAGTAAGAGATGTTTGCGAGTGACGAATTGCTGGCAGAGATGTGGGTCGTGGCCGGTTTTGAGGCGCCGTGTCTGAGGGTGATGGACCAGATTGCTTACAATATTTGCGACACAGAGGTCAACACAAACAGGGGCCAGTAAACAATGACGCCATGCACGTCAGAGCTGACGCACGGAACGCAACGTCAGCCAGACGGAGACGAAGTTCACTGACTTCGGAGTTGCTCGGTTCGAACCCAGATGAGAGTTTCATGCTCTGCCGTTCACTATACTTTCTCTCCTCACTCGGCGATACCCGGTTCGACTCCGTTTTCTTTGTTCCTAGAAAAACAGTTCAGATTAAGGCGTGTACAAAATTCGAATCGCAGGACTGATAGGAAAAAGGTCACATAGACATATGCGAAGATGTATTTAAATGGATGTTAAAGAAATTGTACGTGAGGGTGCGAACTGTATTCATCTGGCTTGGGATAGGCTCCAGTGTTGGGATTTTGTGAACACGGAAATAAAGCTTTGAGTTCCATAAAAGGCAAAGAATTCCTTGGCCAGCTAAGCGACTGTCAGCTTCTGAAGTTGAGTTTATTACATGGAGTCAGTGATAGGGGGAACATGTAGCGCGCCCTGGAGGAACAAGATTACATAACAGTTATGACTAGAAACCCACAAAGAAAGAAGAAGCCACGTGCTTTGTAGACTAAAGGACGCGGATTGGTTTCGTTACGAAGCATCGAATGACGGAATGATTGATAAGTACATTGGAAATGATTTGGAAGGAACCAGTCATTGTAGGAAGCTAAGAAAGACACTGTACTAATACTAACATGGGTCACGTGAATGTGTGAATTACGTATATTGAGGTAGCTCGTGATGAAGGGTAGTGACAGGTTCCATGAAGATGGTTAAGAAGTTCTCAGATATGACTTCCACATTGTGCGTTCAGTGTATGGAAGCAACGCAGAAGGGTGGCACGAACTCTCCAGGCGAAGTGCGAATACCTCAGAATTACCATCCCAGCTTCCTTTTGACATCCTTTCCAAGTCAGTGGTCATGACTCGCGTGTTATTCGGCCGTGTAATAATGCCATCTACTGGTAGCGTCCTGTAACAAACCATATTCACATTGTCGCCATGTTAGTAGTATCGTTCATTCCAAGTTTCGTGAGAATCCGTCCGTTCATTCAGATGTAATTACGGGCAACACGCGCCCTTGCTCTGACAAGTGGCAACACTTGTTGCCAGGTGTGTGCGTGCGTGTGTGAACAGCTGTGGCCCAGAGGAGCAGACTAACGTCACAGTTTGTATGGAAATATACCGACCAATTTATTGCTGTTTCAGTTACTCAGGTCGCATCCCATTGCTGCTGCTGCTGCTGTTCTTGTTATTATCATACCCACCGAAAACTGAACAGAGTGTCATATAAATATGTCATACCTTTATCCCTCCCTCCTCCCATTCATTCTGTATGTACGTTCTATCATCATTTCCCTCACTTTCTTTCCTCCCTCTCCTTTACGTTAAGCAGTTTATGTATACATCGCCAAAGAGTGTTGGCTACCCTGCGTGTTTGTGTTGCTCCGCCGTTTTCTTCAAGAGCCGAGTCCTGTCAGGGCTAACAAACAAACATGTACGCACGCTGGCTCTTATTAAGCAGAGAACGCCGTACACCGAAGGTTGTACTTTCACCTGTGGTTTTGTATGGGTGTGAAACTTGGTCTACCTCTGGTCAAGGCAAGAACGTAAATTGAAGGCACTTGAGCCAGGTAGCTGAGGAGAAAATTTGGACCTAAGAGAGGGAGAGAGATGGGAACAGAGAAAATTACATATTGAGAGGCTTGTACTCCTCACTACATGTGATTAAGATGCTGAGATGGGCAGGGCATATGGAACGTATGGGGTAAATGAGAAACGTATACACAGTTGTGTTTGGGAAACCTAAAGGAAGGAACTGTTACGTAAAGCTAAGCATAAATGAGCTTTTCACGGATGCCCTATGCTCCAAGTGGGAATAACAAGAATAGATAGATCGAAGCATACATGGGAGGTTAATGTTAAATTGAATCTTCAGGAAATCAGATTGGCTGAGGATCTGGCCGGCTGGTTGGCTTTTTGAATGCTGTAATGAATCTTCGGGTTCCTAATAGCGGGGAAGTTTGACTAGTTGAGCGACTGTGAGCTTCCGAAAGGGTATGTGCCATACAGTCAATGTAATTCCTTATATTTGTCACATAGATCGCTTTTGAATGAAGAATCCTGGGAGCCGAAACACGTTAACATGACAGATGCTCAGCTGATCAAGAAATGGGCACTTTTTTCCCAAACCAGAAAGTTCATCGCCGTATTCACAAGAGCCAGAACCACTCTAATTCAGATCCTACTGATGGAGTTCCGTTTTAATATTATTCCGTGACAGACGCCTCGTCGCCACACAGGACACACTTGCCTGACCCCGCGGTTATCTGCGCGGAAGGTCACTGCGCGGCCCCATCGGGGGCGGCGCGCGTGCCGGGCTTCGGTTCATGTGAGTTCCTTGGCACAAATGTGCAACGGGAACTGTCTGCACGGCGCCACGAGCAGTTCCTGGTGCAGTCGGTCGTCAGTCTGAACAGACGGAAGTGCCGGCCAAATCCCACCGCCTCCGAAGACTTCTCAAGTGCCAGTGTTTGCGGGACGAATGT